CGGTCTAGGCAAAAGATAGGGCTAAAACCAAAAGATGAATAAAAGAGGAGCCCATCATCATGAAAGAGGAGCCCATCATCGTGGTCATAAAGGAGAAACCCATCGGCGTATTCATAAGAAGCCAACGGAAAAAGATCAGTTACTTTCTAAATGCATAAAAAATAAAAAAACAATAGATTGCATTTAGGACATCCACAAACAAAGTAGTCGCATAATACGACTTTGTCAAAATCAAGAAAAAATAATTTTCTTCAAACAAGAATAAAAACATGCATATAAAGAGGATAGTCTCCATGCTTGTGATTGAAAACAGGAGGCGCCAGAATCCAGTCTCCATATGAAAATCAAAATCGTGAAAGGCGAAATAAAAACCATTCCAGCAGAATAAAGAGCTTCAAGAAAACTACCTCCAACCTTCTACACCAATAAAAGAAGGTACGTCAAAAAAAAAGCCAACGGAAAGGCTCGATAATCCCCAAGCGGATCCTTGCCTACTCCAAAGGCAACACAAAAATTACTCCACGACTCAGCATCATCATCACATGAATCGTCAACTACAGTCATTTGAAGCCTCAATCTACCTCCTTCCATCCAAGAAAAAGGAAGTCATCAACATGAAAAAAAGCCAACGGAAAGGCTTGATCATCCCCAAGAGGATCCTTGTCTAATCCAGAGGCAAGACAAAAAGATTACCTCACGACTCAGTTTCATCGCCACAAGAGTCATTAAGCAAACTCATGCAAGAATCTCCGCTTCATTCCCCAAAGGAGAATAAGGACTACACAAGAGTCCATCAAAGAAAATACGGAGTCAAATCCTCCATATCCACCAGGGGGCAACGAAAAAGAAAGAAAAAGAAAAACTTTCATTCCCCAATAAAGGCCGCAACGAAAAAAGGCCAAATCAAAAATCTCCAAATAGAAGTATATCAAGAAAATCTACAAAAAAGAGGAAAACAAAAATTTTTCCATCTTCCAGCTCAAATAAGAAGCTTCACAAAGCCAGGAGCCAAGACTCCATCATCAAATTTGGATCCCCAGGAAACCGACAGACTCCTCGGTGAATCCCAAAAAAGAGAAAAGAAGAAAATCTCTTCATCCCGCTCAATAAAGAGCTTCACAGAAGTCGGAGCCAAGACTCCATCATAAAAAATCAAATCAAGGATTGGATCCCCAAGAAGTAAAAAAAAATTCCCCAGGGATCACCAAAAAGAAAAGAAAAAAAAAAGTCTTTTCATCCAAAGAAAAAAGCCAATGTGCATAAAAAGGTGCACATATAAACCCATTCCCCAGCAGGAAAAAGAGCATAGGCAAAGCCAGCTCAAACAACAGTGTCCAATAAGGAGTCAAAAACTCCATTCCTCCCTAAGGGGCAATTCAAAATAGATCCCCAGAAGACGATCAAATCCCTGGTGGATCACCAAAAAGAAAAATCCCCAGCAAGCCTACCAGCAAAGGCAAACTACAAATTCATATCCTCAGGGAGTTAATCACCATAACGCCCAATATGGATATCCCCAGCGAAGTGCAAAGCCTTCACTCCCAAGAAGAGCCTCTGCCTAAGGCAAGGAAAAAGCTGATATCCCCAAGAAATGGGAAATCAACCTATAAGAGGTAATACAAGCACAAAGCTTTCAAAAAGCATCCACCTACTCAGAGGTATTATCAAGAGCAAATATCCTCAAGTAGAACATCAGCCTATTCAAAGGCGAAAAACAACAAGTAAAAAGCCTTAACCACTATCGAAGCATCTGCCTAATCAAGAGGCACAATAAAAAATCAACAAATCCCCAGTGGATTCCTGCCTAAAAAGAGGCAATCAACAGGAATCCCCGGCCAAGACCGGATGACTAAAAAGCCAAGAACAAGGAATCCCCGGTAAAACCGGATGGCTAAAAGAAAAAGCCAAAACAATGAAATCCCCGGCAAAGCCGGATGGCTAAACAAAAAAGCCAAAAACAAGGAATCCCCGGCCAAGCCGGATGGCTAAACAAGAAAAGCCAATCAACAAGAATCCCCAGCCAAGACCGGATGGCTAAACAAGAAAAGCCAAAAACAAAGAATCCCCGGTAAAACCGGATGGCTAAAAGAAAAAGCCAAAACAATGAAATCCCCGGTAAAACCAGATGACTAAAACAAAAAAGTCAAAAAGAAAAATCCATCATTCCCTACGGAATAGACGCATGATCAAAGACAGTAAGCCGCCAACAATTCTCTAAAAAAAAACCGATAAGGATTTTTTTTAGAATATTTCAAAAAACCCTATAGAATAGGGTTCACACCAAGTGGGGTGTAAAAAACCACAAGAGTCTGTCAAGATGCAGATTCGCACCCAGTGGGCGTGTAAAATCCACTAGAGCCTAGTCAAGATGCAGGTTCGCACCCAGTGGGGGTGTAAAAACCACTAGAATTTGTCAAGATGCAGGTTCGCACCCAGTGGGGGTGTAAAATCCACTAGAGCCTAGTCAAGATGCAGGTTCGCACCCAGTGGGGGTGTAAAATCCACTAGAGTCTGTCAAGATGCAGGTTCGCACCAAGTGGGGGTGTAAAAACCACTAGAGTCTGTCAAGATGCAGATTCGTACCAGGTGGGGGTAGATACCCACAAAAGTCTGTCAAGATGCAGATTCGCACCAAGTGGGGGTGTAAAAACCACTAGAGTCTGTCAAGATGCAGTTTCGTACTAGGTGGGGGTAAGTACCCATCAAAGCCTTGCAAGACGCAGGTTCGTACCGGGTGGGGGTAGGTACCCACCAAAGCCTTATAAAATAAGGTTTATACCGGATGAGGGTAGGTACTCATCAGAATCTAGCAAAAATGCAGATTCGTACCAGGTGGGGGTAGGTACCCACCAAAGCCTTATAAAATAAGGTTTATACCGGATGAGGGTAAGTACTCATCAGAATCTAGCAAAACGCAGATTCATACCAGGTGGGGGTAGGTACCCACCAGAGCCTTATAAAATAAGGTTTATACCGGATGAGGGTATGTACTCATCAAAACTTAAGCAGAATGCATTAGGTGAAGTAAAATACTCACCTAAGCATTATAAAAACGGGTTGCAAAGACCTTACTTCTATTAGAGGATAGTTCAGTGTTGAGCACCTCGGAAGTAAGTACCCACAAGAGTTTTAGCAAAAATGCGAACTCATACCGGGTGAGGGTAGGTACTCACCAAAGCCTTGCAAAACAAGGTTTATAACTAGTGGGGGTAGGTACCCACAAGAGTCTAGTGAAACACAGACTCGTACCAGGTGAGGGTAAGTACTCACCAGAGCCTTATAAAGTAAGGTTCAAACCAGATAGGGGTTAGTACCTATCAAAAATATTTATCATCCGAAGGATCAACAAAGAAGCATCCGAAGGATAACCGGGCAAAAGGGTTAACTCCTTCCCCTACCAACTAATTTTGTCAGCATATTAAGCCAACATAATTAGCCGGGCAGGTGAAGGGGGAGCAGTTGTAGACCCCTAATTTTTCCGGTCTCTCAATAAAGGCTGAGAAGATCTCATATGACAAGACAAAGCTCGCTCAGCCTCTCAATAATAAAAGCTAAAGAGACTTCCTACAAAGACAAAGCTCGCCTGACATCTCAATAAAGGCCAAGAAGACTTCCTATATGAAGATAAAGCTTTAACGGGCGTTTATCGGCATCAAACGACGTCCGAATACACAAAGGAAAGCTTCCCGGGGGTCCCAGAACATGAAAGCTGGCCAAAACAGGTCGAGACGGCCGTCCCAACCTTCCCTGGCCAAGTGGGACGGCCGTCCCAAGTGGGACTACCAGTCCCAGCTCCCCAGGGCGTCCCAGCCTTTGTAAAACATGCAGTTGGGACGGCCGTCCCAACCCCAAACGGCCGTCCCAACCCAGACGCGCGTCCCAAGTGTGCAGGCAGCGAAAACTATAAATAGGAAGCTCATTTGGCACTGTTGAACACACTAGACAACTCCTAGTACTTGTCTATCCTCTTCCCTCTTCAAATGAACTCTCTGATTGCCTTGATAAGGTAACAATCAGTTAAGGAATCATATTCCAGCATTCGATTCTTCTGTAAAATTGAGTCGAGTCGATCTTGTATTTGGAGAGGAGAGTCTTTGTAGAGTGAAGGATTGCCAAAACGCATCCTTGCGATCAAAGATTTGCAATAAAAAGCTTGCTACGGAGGTTCTGTTCAATTCTCTTCTGTTTTACTGCTTTTATTTATTGCTTTCTGTATGCAATAATAAATAAAGTCATGTAGATAACCATTTTTAACATTATGCAATAAAATAGGGTAATCGCGTAATTTCTTGTAATCTTCACTTAAATGAATTAATCCGTCATAGGGAACCCGAAAGGGGCGTTGTGGGGTGCTAACACCTTCCCCACACGTAACTAACTCCCTTACCTAACTCTGGTTATAATGGCCAAGTTTGGTTTTTAATAAAATCAACGCCTTTTTATCCTTTTCCAATGTTTATGGTCAAAACATTGGTGGCGACTCCAAAAGAACCCCTTTTCGAAAACCTTGCTTTTATTAGAGGATAGTTCAGTTGTTGAGCACCTCGAAAGCAATGAACATATTTTAAACATAAAACGCGAGTCTAAACCATCTTTTCGCGACCGCTCGCATAAACATTCGAGATGTCCCTGAACGTCGGAACGAACTGCGGCGACACACTCTATCACCTTAATATTCTTTTGTTGAGGGTTTGGCACTTATTACAGGCCGCTCTGCCATTGTATGATTTTTTATTGTCTGATCACACTCGAAATTATGTATCTACTAATCGTATTTTTGCCCCTGATCGGTAGCTCCTTTGCAGGTTTTTTCGGACATTTTCTAGGATCAGAAGGAAGCGCTATAATGACCACAACATGTGTTTCATTCTCTTCGATCTTATCTTTGATTGCTTTTTATGAAGTCGCACCGGGAGCTAGTGCTTGCTATCTAAGAATTGCTCCATGGATATCATCGAAAATGTTTGATGCTCCTTGGGGCTTCTTTGGCGACCGTGAAG